GCACGGCGGCGTGGTCTATACCGAACAATGGCGCGGTTAAAACGCACACCAATTCATGTGAAAGTGCCGCGCAATAGCTTTCTCATTTTGGTTGACCTGCTTTAGATCCTCCGCTGAATTGGAATCCCTGTTGTCCCTTGGGGGCAAATTGTTACAATGTGGAGCTGACAAAAGTCAAGTGAGAAAACAAACACACACACACACACACACACGAATGCCTTTTTGTAAAAGGAAGAATGTATACAAATGATTGACGTATCAATATAGGTATACACTAGCAGGTGTACCCGTTATTCTCACGGAAATTAATAGTTTAGTTCTAGTATATTATATCCATTATTTCCCCCCCAGCCGCGCATTTGTGTGGGATACGCGGCCTACGCGGAGGGTTTGGGGGGGGGGGTGCGTGACGTCAGCAGGCACACTGCGTGACGCTGCCGCATGCGGGTGACATCACAGATGTGACATCACAGATGTGACATCACAGATGTGACATCACAGATGTGACATCACAGATGTGACATCACAGATGTGACGTCACCGCTCACTTGCCGTGCAATATATTACACACATTATTGCGCCCCCCCCCTCCCAAAAAAATACAAAAGTCTATTTTTATACTTTTTCCATTGTGTACAGTCTGCAAACTACCCACATGCCAAATTTAAAGTTTGTTGCATGTCGGGAAGTATGCTAAACATTTCGAACAGACACACATATTCACAAATTTCCCTTTAATGTATATATAGATATTCCAAAAACTCGATAATCTACAACTCCCCTGCCACCATCTGTTTGTGTTCAAATGGATAAACGCATATCTGTGCAGCAGCCTGAATTGGTAGGTCGCAGAGTCAGAGTAATTGCCGCAATTGGGCACCTCTGACATCCACACACAACCCAACACATCGGCACATGTTCGGAGACACACGACTCAATCCCTCCGGCTGTCTGTCCCTTACCACATTGGGTCATTTCCATCTTCAGTTCATCCAGGCTGTGGCAGGGTGTGGGGATTATTTGTGTTGACTTAAACATTCACCGCACACGCACTTTTCAGTGTCTACCCCCCCCCCCCCCCACGTACGTACTGTTTTTATAAAAAATACAAAATGACTCACCATGTAATGAGTAGTGGAGTAAAGTGTGGGTACTTCAACTGCCTTCGTGGAAGAGGAGGCGAAATACCCATCTAGAGGGGCTCTCTAGATCTCTTTCAAGTGGAGGCTCTTGTGTGAGCAAGCAATTGCAGGGCCGCAACTTTACCTATACTTTGGGTGTAACCATGAATTCAACCATTAAGATAGATGATTTAAGCTCATGTACAAATCGTGTGTATGTGTGTGTGTGTAATAATCTATATTAGTCAGTGCATATAAGTTGTATGTAATGGGTTCAAATGTCCCCCGCAATTCTCTAGAGGCCACTACATTCACCAACATATATTTATAAAAAAATATATTGAACTGAATTGTGTTCATGAATCGCGGCATTTCATCGAACGGCTACGGGAGGAACAGCGAATCATTAAAACTGTAATATATGCTAATTTATTAAATTCCTTTATAGTCATCAATGTGTCTCATACAATCTTCAATGGCATAAAGATGAGGCCATATGCTAACCCCTTCGGAATGGAGTTGTAACGTTCACCCAAATTATTATTTTTTGCCTGCTTTGGGGTTGCTTTTTTTGGGAGGGGATTGCACATATTACTGGATTAATATCGGAGAACATTTTTTATTAGTTTAACAGGTAGGCTTTCGCGACCAATATCATCCATAAAATAGAGTTTTTTTTTGGGTTAGATCGCGTAAATATATAAATGTGTTTATATATTGATTACCCATTGATATCCCACATTAACTGTTTACCTGCTAGTGTGCTTTAAGGTGACACGTGAGCGCTCACAGCTCTTACCATCCTATTTTCATCAACACCAAATTTAGCGGCATTATTAGCATTTTAATAGTGAAATACAGTACGCCAATAGGATATAGTTTGGTAATATGCACCGTGCAATTTGATTTTCACACTGAATTCTTTCCTGCACACATTACATTGACACATTACATTCCAATCAAATGCAAGGCAATTTTTTTTCTTTAATGAATTTAAACTGAACCTGATTAGTTCCTCGTGTTTGCACTGCATTTATTTTTTCTAAAATATAAAAAACAAAAATTGGCAATTCATTTTGGCGAGGAGTGGTTAGTGCACCCCACTCTCGACCCGGTGACCCGGGTTCGATTCTCAGCCACGGGTGTAGTGTGTGATATGTGAATTAATTCTGCCCCCCCCCCCATCACCCCCTACTCTCCCCAGACCCTTCACCAACTCGCAAACTACTCCCATGACTGACAAGGCATCGGGAGGCCTTCATCCAATGGTGGATTTGTTAAGGAGCTGTTTTATGAAATGTCATTTAGTGCATATATGGGAATTCTTCTTTCTTGCAGACGTAGTGACATCGTTGGATGTCACTGTGTGAAACCGGCCTGGGAGAGGCACGGGCACGCGATGTCTCGACACCGCTGACACCACTTGAATGTGGATGCAGTACTGGCCCTAGCGGGGCTCGGTGAGCACTGATAGTGACCGATGGCACCACGCTCTGTGTGCAGTGCCAGCCCCTACAGGATAGAGGGCGAGAGCGCCCTGCACGGAACGGGGTTGCAAGGGGCCATGGCACTCTGGTTGACCACGGAGGACACATGACCGTATTCTTAGGTTTTTTTCGGCAAAGTCACTTAGGTAAAAAATAAAAATTAATAAAAGTAAAATAAAAATAAAATAAAAATCACGACGTTTCGGAGGCAACACAAGCTTCCGTCTTCAGGTGGAAACACAAGCTTCCACCCACCACCCACCAAATGTGTTGCCTACAAATAGTACGTCTGCGAGTCAGTTTGAGCCCACTACACAAGTATTAATGGTTCATTGAAATGGTAATCGCCAATTAGATTATGAGCAATTAGATTCCGATTTCCTGGGCAATTTGTACTTTATTGTCTTTGGATAAAGTCACAGTCAGCAGACTAAAAACATACCAGCTTTGATATTATTCAGAGACGATTATACTTATTAAAAGCTCAAATCAGAAATCATTGCATCCCATTTATTATGAACAATTTCACACGAAGGTCGCAGATATGTGTGAAATGTGAATATACATGCACACGCGACGTCCTATACTTTTAAATTTACAAGACCTTTATTTACTCTTGTGTAAACCCTAATATTGCATAAGTTGGAAGCTCCGGTAGGAAAAATACACGTGCGTTTTTAAACTGCATCACATCTCCAGCAAATGTACCATTCGCTTGCCAGTGAATTGGGATACGTGACATGTTTATTGTGTGTTTTTGCTGTAAATTAAATTACGGATGCTCACACGGCATTCAATCAAACTGGCCAGCGTTAAGCCAATCAATACTGGCCATTCTGTCCGGCGAGCATTTTCTCCAGACGGCACAAGGGAGACTTATCAACATATTTTAAATAAAAAAAAATGCACAGTTTATTTTTTTTTCTTCAACGTATTTGCTTTATATCGAAGAGGCCAGGAGCTCCTGTAATGATAGCATGTACAGTGCTTCGTGCACTGCACTACGAACCCGGCGACCTGAGCTCTCGGTGGTGAGATGTTATCTGCTTTGCTACAGGAGGTCGTGGGCTCGATCCCAACCCTGATGCCTGCTGTATATTTGGAGTTTGCATGTTTTCCCCGTGGTCACGTGGATTTTTCACCGGGACCTCCGGTTTTCCCCTTAACATTTGGCTGCTACAAATTTCCACATGATAAGCCACTTCGTTGAGTTAACGTTTGTGGCCAGGTCGCTTCTGAAAAAGAGCTATAAGCTTCGTGGGCCCTACCTTGTAAAATGAAAATAGTTTAACAATAAATAGCAGTTTAGTTTAATTCCTGGCCATGGCTAAGAAGAGTGCCCTCACCCCCCCCCCCCCCCCCAACGTACAGAATCTTTATCTTAATTTTATCCTGGAGAAATCCGATGAGCTAAGAAGCTTTTTTTTGCATATATGTCCAGTAGGGGCAGGTCAGAAAGTTGCACGTACGCCTTACACTGGCCAGCATTGTAAATAATGGTCAAACAGCCCCCGTGATCTACATGGTGTGGAGGACCTTGGATTGACAAAGGACTGTCTGTTGTTTCCATTGCTCTGCAAAGACGTGAGAGTGCATGCCACGTGTGGTATGTGCTCTGTCTTTCTCTACATATAATAATTATTGAATTACTATTAAATTATATAACAGCATGGTGGAGGTAAAATAAATACATGTTCTGGAGAGGGATGCGGATAACCGTGCATGAATGGATGCTACTCCTTCAGTTAAGTTTTCTTTTTTAATTTCTTAATCTTGCAATTAAAATGACATTCAACGTATTAGTCCTTATATATAAGAACTGCAACTGTCTGTCATTCTGTCAGCTGGTTAGTGTCACGCAGATTTCAGTTTGGGCTCATATTGACCAGAAGGAACAGGAGACCTATGGTATTGAAGATGAGCGATGTAAGACCTATTACATTTGACCTAGGTTTGGAGAGAAAACAAATCATTGCGTGGAATTACCACAGACTTTTCGGAGACGCCAGGCCAACTCACGTCACGTATCGTGCCGAATGTAAGAGGTGAACGGGTGGAGGACGGCAGAGCATAACGAGGCTTCAGGTCTCCCATGCTGTATTTTTACAGAAGATAAATATAAGCACTCCTGCTATAAGCACAGTTCTGGTACAAGCAACAGATCCTTACAGCACACTCGTGGGGGGTTAAGTTCCAAGGGCTACTTCTGATACAAGCAAACTCCTTCTGGTGTAAGCACAATTGGCCTTGCGCCCGGCAAAGGGTTGCGCTCTTAAGCCAGCGTCAACGTCTCTTAACTAATTCTAGTTCAGACAAGCAAATAAATAAGTGCCTGCGATATTTTATTCCTGATAAGGTTCATACCAAAAAAGACAAAAGAGATGCCTCTTACCGGAGCTATGGCCACCAAGCCGACGATGTCGTGCTGGCTGACAGTCAGCTCACTGGTGATGCGCTCATGCTCGGAGGGCGCGCTCTGCCCATCGTAGGCCACGTGCCACAGGATGCGCCGCGTCACCGTCTGGCTGGTGATGTTCTCCAGCTCGAACTCCAGCTGCAGGACCTCCGTGCTGCTCGTCTCTCCGTTGGCGCTGGGCACCGGCAGGACAGAATGGCGTGCAAGTAACACCGGCATGTTTGACGACGGGAGGTTGACAGCAGTGCTATACCGTTCAATATTACATTGCATTGAATAATAATGATCAGAAACAATATGAATAATGCGACACTTTATTCAGGATTCTGCCATGGTGTCTCTTAGGTTAGCACACTGGACTTGAAATCCTGAGGTCCGTTGGTTCGATCTCCTGGTGCGGAAGTTAAAACAATGGGCAGGTTTCTCAGTCCACTTCCTGCCCCCCCCCCCCACAGAACGGTACACTACAAGAAATCGGACGTTCGCATGGGTAAAGTGTGGGTATTCCCCCATTTTCCAAGATGTCATGCCAACATGGAAGAGTAGGCCAAAATACCAGTTAGAGGGGGCTCTCTGGGGCTCCTTCTAGTGGAGGCCATTCCACCGGCAGTTGTGTAAGCAATACATTGCAGGGCTGCACCTTTGCCTCGCTTCCACTTTGTTTATCCAGGAAAACCTCACTGAATCATTAAACTGTCTTTAAGGAGGCTCCTGCATTGATATGTGTGCCTAAATGCCGTGAACAGGTGTTTGACTCGTGGGAGGAAAATCCGAAGCCAGGATAACACGAGACATGTGTTTGGACGTAACAGTTCTCTGCACAGATCAATTCAACACAGCGGCTGCAACTGCCACCTCGGGGCACTAACATTGGATGGTAGCAATATGTATTACTAACTAGCAGGAAATACCCGGCGGTGCCCGGGTACTTGCAGCTATCTTTTGCGAACGTAGAGTGGCTCAATCGCTGTTGTTCAGAAGGAGGGCGTCAGTGGCGTTACAGCAACTGTTGAGATTTCGCTGCACCGTGGGGCCTGCAATAAATGTAAGATAGCATGTCCACCATGGGGTACGAAAGTAGCTAAGATTTTCCGCGGGGGTTCAAAAGGTAACTCTGCCAGGTTTGGTGGCGATAGCTTTAGCGGTGTGGATTTGTATTCAGAACAGAGAGACAGACAGATTTTCATTTTTATATATAAAAATATGTGTGTAACACACTACTGGAACTGTCCACGATAATGTATCGGTTGGCAAATGTATTGACCATTCACATGCTAAATACACACAGGTATATAAAATGAGCCTGCTGCTTAGTCAATGTGCTTTCCTATCTGTTGAAAGCTATACCATTGACAAACTGGATATCTTTCAGCTCTGTAAACCAATAATAGTATTTAACACGTAGGCTTTCGCGACCAATGTTATTCATAATCAACGTTTTTTGGGTTTAGATCGCGTTATTTATAAATGTGTCGTAACCCTCCACCACCCGACACAGCCAATCAGTAAAAAAGTGTCACGTTGACAAAAGACAAATAGTTCACTGCTTTAGCCCACCGGTGTGTTGAAGCCACAACATTTACAAATTGAGTACGACGTTTCGCTGGTAATTGCATCCAGCATCATCGGGCAATTCGCCAGAATGGTGAGGCTCTGCTGTGTCTCCCGTTCTTATATTTTAAACATGCACATTAAGCAAGTGATAAAAAACACCATAGTTAAAAAAGGTACAATCCAATATTATATTTTATAACACCTCACTGTGTAATATTCTAACGTAAAGAAATGTATCAATCCCATACATTTCCCCTAGCTTTAAACTCTTACACGAGATATATTTTTTTTAAACAATACTTAATTATATTAGTATAAAAAATAATTGACATTCTCAACAGGCTTAACAAACTTAATATTTCTAAAAGCAGTTCAATGTCAGAGCACAGCAGTTTATAGCACTGTGTTGTCAAACTAATTAGCAAACTATAATGGTATTTTAAAAGAAGCCATAGGGGATTGCACGGTAATTATTAAACACACCGTGTACCTTCCTTTAGACACTCCTTTGTTGAGGACACCGACACACTCAGGATTAGCTAATGGTAAATTTCCCTCTGTGGGTTACGATAAGTCTTGAATTAGAGCAGTATAATGCGAATGTTTTTTTTGCTCATGCATATCTTATTACCGACCACTTTTTTACATCATTAATTATTGAGTGTTTTTTTTTAAACCTACTGAACGTTATTGAACGATATCTTACACACACACCAAAACTGTTATACACTCTTATTTTTTTTATTTAACGCATTTAATTACACTTTAGCTATAGAGCTTTTTTATATTAAAGAACCATAGACAAAATTAATCATCATTGTCCGGGTGTTTAGTGTTTTTGACACCAAAGCTGAGTAGCAGCTTAACCGCAAACATTACAAATGCGGCAACAATAAATGAATTAAAAAATAAATTCGAGGCATTATTTTCACTTCCTCAAATTAAGTGAACCGTAAAAGAAAATAGCTTCAGTGTTCGTTTAATAACGTTTATTATTGTTGTACTCTCGTTTGTCCGTGTACCTCGTCTGGATACTGTATTGGTTTTTTTCCACGATGTATTTGGTCTGCACTCACTTCCTTACTAGGTAATTATACTGGTAGAAACCACCTGGTTCCACCAGCCCACAGGGGATTATTGTGTCCGTCCGTCGTGCATCAAAAAATGGGAGGGGTGGAGCTGGGTGGAGAGGGGAGGGTGGGGAGGGGCTGGGTGGGGAGGTGGGAGGGGTGGGGCTGGGTGGCGAGGGGCTGGTCACCCCGTGGTGCCCTTATAAAACTCAACGTTTAACCTACTCACGCCGGCTTGTGCCCGCCCTCAAAGTCGACCATATTTGCGGAATACACCACGCCGCCGTTGACCCTGGCCATTGACCGAGCAACACAACGTTCCTACCAGCTCCCTCCGCAGGAATGTGTTATTATCTCAAATGTCCCCGTTGTCCTGGCACCTTCAGATGCACCGTAAACTAGGTGTGGTATACATAATAAAGATGATATTGTTAAATTAAAGAGGGATTACCACAAATAATGGAAGAGCAACGCTGCCTTCCCACATGATGGAACAATAAAGCAATTCAATTTGAGTGAATAATAATGAGAATGTTATTCTTACGTTGTGGTCAACATATGAATCAAACATCAGGATGTATCGTTGAATGACAGCAAATTACATTTTAACGATGTGAACATAAACACATAAAAAAAAGACGCGAAGCAAAATCCCCCTACAATGACATTGCAATAATCCTGAAAAAGTGAGATCCCTGCTGAAAAACGAGTCTTCGTGCTTAGTGAGACTTCCCTGCGCAAATAATGGACACTACTTATGGTTATTAGTACGATGTCAGAAAGTTGCCGTTTGTGCTGATTTTCCTAGGAATATGCAAAGTCATCCAAGGATACTAAACGTTACAGTTTGTGTCAGTTGCCTAATAAAGGCACCACTAAAGACGATGCATTTACATGCAGCTCCCCCCTCTATCGATGTTGTGAAATATGTTTCTTCCCTTGATATGTCCTCGGTTATTTATATCTCAGAAGTCGCGACCTCATGCCTGCCTATCGGTAATCACATTAATATTGAAATATACCAATGCTAGTGATCTTGTTGATGTCCATTCCCAAGTCACGTTGCAGTGCAGATAGACGCACAACAACTCCACTGTGATGACGTCTTTGGAGCTGCCAACTCAGATCATCATCGGAGCACAGAGTTCGTGGTGGTTTTATTTTCTTTAAAATAAAGGTGCAGCCCTGCAACTGCTTGCTCACACCACTGCTGGCATAAGGGTCACCGCTCGACGGAGCTCTATAGAGCCCGTCTATAAGGTATTTGGCCTACTCCACACTGTGGTGTGTGGTGTACACATGTGTGGTACACCACATGTGTGGTGTACACATGTGTGGTGTACACCACACATGTGCGACTGCTGGGGCTAGGTGAATGGGTGGGGGCATATTTAGGAAACGTGTCCATTGTATCAAACTGCTGCACCGGGAGAATGAATCAAACCAGATACCTGGATTTCAAGGTCATTGTTCAATCCATTACACCATAGCCACCACTCCTTCTGCTTCAACAGGTCAACAATATATGAATGCACTAAACTGGTCACTATTTCTTTGTAACCAAGAAAATTATTTAAATGATTCTTACCTGTAGTAGCAATGATTGCTAAATCTTTGGTAATAGGTGTGACAATATGTTGTTGTCTGCATCTGTGATCAATCATAGTGTCCACATTTTGGATGATTCGACAATAATAGGTATAGGCGCAGCGACAACTTAAATTGACAGTGAACATTGCCCGTGAACATTCTCAACATGGCCTCCCCTTCATGGACCTCATGGATTGTGAAAAAACGACATGTGTTATTTCTCGTCTCTTCCGTTCCTCTGAACCTTGTGTGGCGCCTTTTTAAAATGTATTTTGCAAACCATAGAGGTTACGTCGACTTTTTTTGTTAAATGTATCAGTGTCTACAGGACACCAGTGTCAGGTGTGATCACCGGCTATACGCCTGTGAATCTCTGCCCTTCTGTGTCTGTTCTGAAGAAGAGGCATTGCCCAAGAGTCCGCTTTAAAAACACAATATATACATCGTTTTTCCCCTATAATTATGCGGTGATTTTGGTAAACTTCTTTGTGGTAAAAAGAAAATGAAAGGCAACGTTAATGGACAATCAGGGAAATTAGAAAACAGCTTGAATCTAATGGAAACACACTTCAAATGGTTTGTAATTTTTCACATATATTTCATGTGTATATTTTTGGTTAGAATCTGCACGTGCTTTATGTAATTTGCATATGCTTTTGGCTGTTACCTGATGAAGCTAGTTGTAATTACTGGCGAAACGTCATACTCATATTGTAAATGTTGTGGACTTGCTCTCCAACACATCGGTGTGCTGAACTAGTGACGAATTGCCACGTTCTGTTTACGTGACAACCCTTACTAGTTGGCTGTGTCGAGTGGTGGTGCGTTTAACAACACATTTTTACGTACGCGATCTAACCCAAAAAAACTATATTGTGGGTGCTTTACTTTGACTATAATGTGTTGTATAATGGAAAAGGATTTGATTACAAGTATTGCACGTAATCACAAAAGTTTTGACGGTACGTGAAAAAAAAACATTTTCGGAATGTTTGAGGAAATGAAGATGAAACACATTTTAATTCTCAGCTGTCTCGAAACTACAGAGGCATACGTTTAAAACATCTGTGCCTGAGTATCATCTATTCGATTGTGAACAATCCCCACAACCATTTAATGGGTACCATTAAACTTGTTTATAGGACACTATAATAATCTAAGATATACTCTGCCCCCAAATTAACGGTTGAATCAAAGCTTTAATATTAATTAAATTTTTACTGCTACCAATACTCATCTCGTATTTTTTGTTAAATGGAATTTTTTTAAGTGAAAAGGATATGCCAACACAAAGTCCTTTGTTTTTCCATTTACACGAAACAGGTATAGGCATAATGAAAGCTTTCGTGACTGCAGGAATTCATATTCTTTTGGTAAAGTCACGTAGATAGGTTAAAAAAAAACTACGACGTTTCGATCGCAACACAAGCGGTCGTCATCAGGAAAATGGAGGTCTGCTTCTAAAGGCAACTGTTTATAAAGGTTTGAAATGGGCGTAGCCCAAATGTCAGCAGCCAATGTTAATGTAAGTGGTGGGCAGCGACCGCGACGGTGGTGGGTTTTCCACCAATCAAAGGGCTGCCAGGTAAAAATGTGCATGTTAATGTAAGATCGCTTAGCATCCTCCACGGCGGGCGTGCCAAGGTTGGGCTATGTTAATGTGAGAGATTATTTGACTGTGTTCAATCCATATTTCCTTTTAAAGGAGGACTTGTATTCTCAATGAGCTCTTACCTGGTCATACTTGTCCGTATTCCAAGTAATTGAACTTTTATCCCTCAGTATATCGCTGTAATTTTTGTTACTGTTCGGAATTCTCATAAAGATTAGCCCATGCATGGCTCAAGATTGATTTATATGTAAATCCCTGCATCAATGTTTTAGCATTTACAACCGATGTTGTACTATTCCAATGCAAAACAGCTTAAATATATTATGTGGCTCAGGTCTTACGTGTCTCGTGCAAAAGGTTAAATAAAAAAATGTTAGAAATGCTTTAAGTACATTGCCTCTGTTTGATGGAATGAAATTGCATCTGCATCACATTTATCTTCCTTAGCCAGTAGATTAAATTGTATCTCCGACTGGAAACACGAAGGTACTGTAATTGTCTTTAGCAACATATAAAGGACATCGAAGCAATTTGCTTCAAGACTGGCAGGATGGATTAAAAACCTGTCGGTTTTCGTAATGTGCATGTCTCTGTTTGGTAAAAGTAAAATGGATATATGGTAATTGGAAAAATAGCAACGAAAGGTGAAAATAAAATATCTCTTTAGGCTATATGCTTTTATATATGATTTGTCCATCAGTTACTTTTAACATCTCACTTTTAACATCTTCCTCGAGAAGTTTAAAGTAATCGTCCACTGAGAGTACTGGTTTAGTATGAAACAATTCTGACTAAATCAAGCAATATTTAGATTACTGAATCCAGAAGTACACTGATATGTGAATCGGAATGTTCATGAATCATTTCAAGACTTGTAAATGAAGACGATGGAAAACAAATTTTCCCCCCCAAAAATTGGAGCACGATTGGTTCCGACATGTTGCGGACATTTTGAGACATTGGAGCTGTTCCTACGAAGCAAAGCAGAAGTTATTTCTTGTCGATTCTTTACTCAGATCATCCTGCACAAGAGGCTTGCTATCTGAAATGTTTCTCATCCCTCTAAATTACAGCTCCCCGGTCAACGGAATATCAGGTTCATATTCTTAGGTCACGTAGGTAAAAAATAAAAATAAAAATCACGATGTTTCGGAGGCAACACAAGCTTCCGTCTTCATGAAGACGGAAGCTTGTGTTCATGAAGACGGAAGCTTGTGTTGCCTCCGAAACATCGTGATTTTTATTTTATTTTTATTTTACTTTAATAATTTGAATTTTTTACCTACGTGACTTTACCGAAAAAACCTAAGAATATGAATCCTTGCAGTCACGAAAGCTTCAAATCTGGAATATCAGGTCACATTCTGATTGGGTTCTATCGGATCAGTTGGTAAGAAGAAGCTGATAATGACATGTCAAATGTTTCATTTTAAACAGTAACATCCGTATATATCTTGGTACATACTTTTTTCCTGGAAATAGATAATCTACGGGTTTTCATGAGGTTTTGTGCATTGTTAAATACTTATAATAAGACAGCGGTTTGACTCGCATGGTTGAAACGATAACGTATTTCTTATACATACTCAACACATTGTTTGGCGATGCTACATTGGCGGTGGCGTACCAGCACACTTTTCTCAGCCGTGATCGTTTCAGACTTTTCTGCTTTGTGCTGTTGAAGATTACTCAAGATTACCAGTGACACTTGAATACGAAACAAAAAAAAACTCAACAAGTTCGTCGATAACATAGCACACTGATAAATCACTGTGTAACACATTTTTAGTTTTGTTCCTGGGTAGTAAGTGTTATTTTCCAATTGCTTATGCCTCAAAAGTAGAGAAAATGGCTATAATTCCTCACAAACCTTGCTTTTGTGACTTGGACACAAAAGCCAAGTTAATAATCCACTCCATTAATAACACAGTGGAACACATTTATTATATTTTTGTTCCCTGGGTAGTAAGTGTTATTTCCGAATTGCTTATGCCTCAAAAGTAAAGAAAATGGCTATTATTCCCCACAAACTTTGCTTTTGTGACCAGGACAGTGACATTTTCAAATTGACCTATTTTCAATGAGAAAACGTGGTGTGCATTTGTGTCTTTCCTTCACGTAAAGTCCTGGTCACAAAAGCAAAGTTTGTGTGGAATTATAGCCATTTTCTATACTTTTGAGGCATACGCAATTAGCAATTAACACTTACTACCCAGGAACTAAAATCGTGTTAATGTGCTAAGGAGAAGGGATCATTGCCCAAAATGTCACCTATTATATATTCTACCTATTGACGAATGTGCAGAGTTGTTTTGTTACGTACTCAAGCTTTACTGAAAAAGCTTTAATGATCTTCAACAGCGCCGTAGCAGCAGCGTATGTGAAACAATCACAGCTGAGAGATGCTAACAAACACCTGGGAATCTCAAATCTAAATATGATGTGTGTCGCCAGATTAATAAAAAAAAGATATTCACACAAACAGACTACCAAGTGTGTGTGTTTGTAGTTTTTTGAGCGAACTCAAACTGATGTCTAATTATATACTATTTAATAATGAATGCCACAAATAAGGACACCTCGTATAACACACGCAAATTTGCACATTATAGATTATTTAAGTCCACAATTTGACCCCATTACGGATGCATTGCTGAGGGGGTAGGGTATAGGATGGCCAACTTTATACACATTCGTGGCTTAAACATTCGTCGACAGCATGATTAGCCATGGTCAATCTCCTGTTAAAGAAATGTCTCCTAAAGCCACTATCATCTCTACATTAAAAAAATGTCGTTGTGTTTTTTTCTCCCCACAATTTTATTCCGAATAAAAATAATGATATCTGAACTTTCAACGAGCAATGCATTATTGCATCTTGCTAGTGATAACACGTAACTACTTCTGAGAAACCTTCAATCGACCTATTTTATCTGCGCTAAGACGGGCTGCACTTTCATCACTCGCATGTTGGAAATTCACAACAGCTCATGCACCTGGCAAAATTCTTGAAATATTTCTCGAGCGGTGAAATAAACCAGGGGGCCCACCCAGATGTACCACTTCTTTGTCAACGAAACAATTAGTGGTAATCAGGCTGGGGGGGGGGGGCATGAACCGGTTTTGATATTCAGTTGCCACCAACTATATCTCAGAGGTCGCAACCGGGTACCCGATACCCGTACCCTACCCGATACCTGGCTACCCGTACCCGGCCGGGTACGGGTACCCGTTTGCGACCCTGGTGCGGCTGGGTACGGGTAGACCGTGAGTCACTGGTGAGTAACCGTTTGTCACTCATTTCCCAACGTCTTGTCTCTTCTCCCAATTCCCGTTCCTAGAATCAACCCACCCGCAAATTCGAGTCACGTGGCACCAATCACAGCTTTCCAACTCCTGCGCCACCCACTTTAATTGGCCATACAAAGCAAAGAATGCCTCCCGACGGTGTATCACCCCGCGCGGTACCAATTTGTACGCCGGCTCGAGGACTGTGACAGTTGAGACGAAAAAAGACAAAAACAAAGTTCATTTTGAAAGGGAAGAATACATTCAAGACAGCGTCGTAAAGGCACTGCGAAGCTGTTCTCAAATGTCAATTACGTTACCGTTATACATTGCTGACGACGATAGCGTCCGACGATATTCATTAGTGCACAGTTTTGAATGAACCTCATGAAAGTGCAATGCTTGATGGGACCAACCTAGCCGCAGGTGGAGAGGGCATCTTGCTGACTTCCACCAGGATCGTTGTGTGCTTGGCTCCACTGTTAATCTCCTTGTTGACTGCCCACACTTCTGGATTGCTGGGGTGAATTTCCAGGAGGTTCACGCCTTTCTTGCCTTTCACCCTGCAACGCAGACATGTGCTTTGATGAGAACCGGGTCGTGTTTTACCTGCGCAACAAAGGGGCGATGGTGCGCGAGGTGCTCGTCCATGACCTTGAGTCAATGTCAAATTCTGTTTGGCCATTGACTCAGCCCATCATCCCACATGGGGGCGATAAAATTAGGTACCGTATTGTGGGGTAGTCAATAGCGGTTGTCCAAAAGTAATGTGCATTTTCCACCGGTGACTTAGAGATGTGAACGGTAGATGAGCACTGCCTCAATGCTCATCAAGCGGCGTTATGGTGGAGAGATATTAACTACCTCGCCTGTTATACAGGCAGTCATGGGTTCCATTCCGACACAGACACCTGCTGTATATTTGGAGATTGCATATTTTCTTCCCCCCACATTTAGAAATATGCATTTAGAGTATTTGCCTGCAGTGCATTTCCACATGATGTGCCATTAAGTTGAGCTATCATTCGTGGCCAAATTGCTTCTGAAAGAGAACTATATAGCTCAGTGGTAAAATAAAATAATTGAGTTTACTTTGACTTTTTTTATTTGATCCTCTACCTGTGAGCAATTAGAATAATTCTCTATTTGGGATAGTGATTGTAAATTCAGGAATACATTTCAAAATATAAATATTTACCATTTTGTTTTTTATTATTTATAATGTTTTATTCTATCTCCTTTGTGCATCACTGTTTGCTCCGTGAGCCTAAATGTAACATTCTCAAACGTTTTGCATATCATTCACGTAAATAGTTAATAACTTTCTTCTACCCTCATGATTCCATGTATGTATCAACAGCATTGGAATACATTTTAACGTATGAATCAATGCGTTATTACATAACTAATGGGTTTATTGCTGTTGTTATTTATACCTTTTGTACATTTCGTGCACCGGGTACTGATAAAAGTGCCAGTTTGCATAGCAATGTTCAAAATGACTTCTGCCTCAAATACTGGTAACATTTTGTATCTGTCATAATCCTGAAAATGTGTACACATACATACTTTCAAATGAGCCTGTTTTATTATTAGTAGTATTAGTAGTAATTGACTTAAATGTCTTCATATATAGAGAACTGCAGAGCTTGGGCAATCATTAATGCCGGCTCACCACTGGCTGCCTTCCAGCTTGTCTATGGTTAATTGGAAATTGTGGGATGCAATTTGTGTGACCGACGACACTTTATAAAACTCAACGTTACCATTATGCTGCAAAGTGGCTCCAGATAACATGAGCAAAACAATAGATTTGTGAAACAAATTATAGTTGTTGATGGGACACAACTGAAGCAGACAACGCAATATGAACACCAATAACAGTTGTTGAAAGTACACCAGGATCAATTGAAAAAGTAAAGAGACGGACAAAAGTAATTAGATTTCTTTGGGGGGAGGACCGTTTCAGAAATCACTTTGCCACGATTGCTAGGCACTGTAGTCGGTAATACAACTCAGGTGTTCGGTTTTATAGTTCAGTCCGATAACTACTCACTCCGTGTCAAAATTCGGCAACAAGTTGTCTTTGCCAATGTCAACAGAGGAAATAAAATCCTGGTGCTTCTTTCTGATTCCACCGAATTGCTATCGAGATGACATAGAATTAAAATTCAAGGCAAGGACAATGGAGTCAAGTCCAAAGTAGCCAAAAAGCTTTCGTTATCGCAAAGCAGCAGCAGCAGCATATCGAAACCAACACGCATTCCAAGTGTACTATTCCAAGTCGGGCTGCGTGTGTTGAGCATTTCCTGTCAAGCTATCACCACGCAGCGGTTGAATGCAACTCCTGAAGGTATCTGCAGTCGTCCGTAGTGAGAGCTTAAGAGGAGGAAGCCTCAACAAGCAGGCCCAACCTATAAACTATACAACTATTAATATTTTATTTTATTTCATCAATCAGGTAAGGCCCGCTGAGCCATATATACGAATGATAGCCCAACAAAGTGGCTTATCATGTGGACATTTACAGCAGTCAAATAATCCAAACGCATGTTGATTCTAAATGTGGAGGGAAAAACCGGAGGACCCGGAGACAAATCGGCGCGACAACGGGGAGAGTGACAACGCAAACTCCAAATATGCAGGCGTCAGGATCGGTATCGAACCCACAACTTCCTGTACTCCAGGCGAGGTAATTAACATCCCGGCACTTTAGCGCCCCAACCGGCAGAGCAGCACTGCACAAGCAGCTGCGAAAGCTGCGTGTTAAATGAGCGTACATGTCTTGTTTCAAGGTTTGCGTGTTGGGCAAATGTTTTGCATTGTTTGTGAAATATAACATGGAGGCAGCATCATATTTACTATGAAGGCATACATAGAGTGAATTCTTGAAACGTATACTTTGTGTTGAACATTTTGGCTGTTGGCAGTCTCGGGATTTTTTTGCAGACAACTGAAATTTGTCAACAACATTGTGATCCATGAACACTGGAAATCTATAAATACTACAGAATATGCAAATATATAAAGTAGAATTTAATACAAAGCTAATGAACAACACATTTCAAAGCATGCTGAGAATTCTTGCTGGCATTGCAATCATAAAATACTTGTTTTACACAACATTATAATTTCTTTGCAGCCTGTCACCAACCTTTCTAGCTTTAGTGGCTGTTCTCATTAGCTACAGAAGACACTTACATATGTTGAACAAACCGAGAGACCGTTCCTTGGCGAAGGATATTGCAGGTCTTAATGTGCCGCGTATGAAATATAAAAAAAAATGTGCCAAACAGATGGGCATATTCTATCAGGAAAAGGAGGGTAGAGTCGGGGAGCAAAGGGGAGCATGGAATAAACACGTGGCTCGGCACACGTGTATGTAGACACCTTATTTCCCTGCAGGCAGGCTGAGTGACGGACTTAATGAGACGGCCGCGGGCTGTTTAGCTTTGAAGTGGCTACACACCGCCTTCGGCTGCCATAGAAGCCGCTCCTTTTGCATCCTCCCCGTGGTATGGTCACTGTGACTTTAGCCCAACCTTCATTTTTTTGTTTGCCAAATCGCGTGAACGTTTACAATTCGCACTGACATGTGTATAAAATTGTTAGCTTCGGTGTTTGCATTGTTATTTGTTCATTTATGCAATGCCCTAACAAACGACATGCATGCGTATCTAAAAGCTGCCAGTGAATATGTTTGTTCATCTGTAACATGACTGTGTGCCGACAATACTTAGTGCCGCTACATGGGCTGTGAACGTGAGCTAGAATACACTAAAATATAAACAGAACGCGAGCAAATGGTGTTCGGTACATTGTTGCCTATTATTTTGCAAACCACGTGCTTTAGATAACGTAAAAATATAGTTCCTTCAATTTCGTTGAAAATAAAAGTCCGTCACCTGTGCTTCCCCATTCACCATGCAATTACGAGCGCAATAATTTGCACGAACGATAATCAAAATTACATGCACACGCTTTATTAAGGGGACATTGTCTCTCCGAATATAAACTGGGTTTTTTTTTCTATTCCCGAAGGTCATTTTTCATTTACAAAAATATTTAAGTTTATCATTGTTTCGTCTATAATATGTACAGTATTTATGACAAATGCCATGCATACTGAAAAGACAATGCATAATGGATTATGCGATGCATCATCAATAAGTATTTAAAAAAATATCGTGGCAGGTTAAATTAACATAAAATTGACATTCATGCATTCAAACATTTAATTTCCAGACACGCATACATCACAATTTGTCAGAAAAGGGAAAGCTTTAAATGTGCCCAAACATATTAGTTTACAAAGAAAACTCTTGTCAGTCACGTGCTTTGAATGAGTTGAGGCCTTCACTTGATCAACTTTAAGCTGTCAAACCTGACTGCACTGACACATTGATAGATACCCAAGCATTGGAATATTTCCTGCTAACACAAAGCCATGCGTCATGGTCAGCATATGTAACAACATGATAAATATGGTGTACTGACTGCACATTGGCTGACTTGTCCAAATTGTACCGTTGCAGACAACAAAAATCCATGACGTTCATATCAATACGACAGCGTGTACATTTGCATTCATATAATTGAGTTGAACAATGGCATGAGAGAAAACAAGACGGTTGTTGAATAATAAAGCAAACTTTAGTTTTAGGTAATACGTTCTAATACATTCGTTGCCTTTGTCGTAGAGGCCAGGACCAAACATGCCTTAATTTCTCATCGAATATAATTTGGGCTGCCAGTAGACTGGAGTAGGCACGTGACGAGCAGCCACAGCCACAGCAAGACATATCCTGGACGTGGTATGCAGTGGGCAGAAATAATTCCTAGGTCGCCAATGTGGACAAAGCTGGATAAAACTAAGTCCAGGAAAACACGGGGATGAGTAGAAATAAACATGAGAGCAGAGTAATTGCGAAGTGAACGTTTATTAGTTGCATTTTTAAGTACATCTCACAATAAAATGTATGAAGCACGGTAGTAAGATTAATTTAAAGAGTTGGTAATCCAGAGAGGCTATTTAAGGTGGCAGAGGTGATATTACTTTTTCTGTGTTGAAGAAATACAATTTACTGAGAAGTGTACTATATCTTCTTGGTTCTTTCGGTAAAGTCACGTAGAAGGGAAATAATAAAATAATACAAATAAAATAGAATAAAATAATATTTTTACTATTTTTTATTTCCCTTCTACGTGACTTTAAGATGAATCCCTGCAGTCACGAAAGCTTTAAATCGAAATTTAAGTGTACTAGATATTCTTTGGGTCTTTCGGTAAAAGTCACTTAGATGGTTCAAAGAAAATAACAAAAAACTACGACGTTTCGATCAGAACACGAGCGATCGTCATCTGGTGTAAAGAGGAGGAAATCCGCGGAATGCAGACTGTCTTACAGGGTGTAGTGCTTGAGTCATAAACGAAGTGGGCGGGGCTAGTTATGTTAATGTGAGAGATTAGCATGTTAATGTCAGGTCGTAGAGCCACCGCATATCTGCATTTCCCATAAATATGCTAAAATTCCTATTGATATGCAAATTATTTTGTCAAGGCG